AGAAATCAAAGTGATGGTCTTCTGACTTACGGATTTTCCTTTGCGGAAAAGCAGCTGGTTGCCAGCCAGAGTGAAGTAGCGAGTTTTCCACCTTTTGATAAACTTCCACCGGACTTGCTTCTCTTTAAGCTTGCCTTCCATCAGAGGCTGGCCATCCTGGTTCACAACTGGGGAGGGGAACACACAGTGGGGGGGTTATTTCTGTCCTCCCCTGGCCCAGCTGAAAGGCTTCTGCTGCCATGCAGGAGGTTTTTTTGGCAGTTTAGCTGCGTCAGCTCCAAGACCACATTCCTCCCGACCTCAAGCATTCAGCTGTCACGTCTGAGAGACGTTTCAGTCCTGCGGCACGTTTCGCTTGGGAGGCCGAGCAGATGGAGCTGACAGCTCGGACTGCTCCTCCATCACTTCTTCTGTTCCCTTATCCATCACGTACTTCTCCCCACCGTTACGCCTCCCAATTGTTCCTCAGCCCTGCAATCATAATTTATAATTTCACACAACTAGAAGTGGGCATTTTTGTTGTCTCTGAGGTTTTAATCCGCGCTACCGAGTTCAGTACAGTTATATTCCTGCTACGCAGTATTTTGGATAGGAACATTTGGAGGATGTCCCTTCCCATTAACTGCAATCCCTTGCTCCCTTGCAGCAGCAGCCCTATGGAGAAGGAATTAAGAGCCAGAAGTGGGATGTCCGCATGGGGCTGACGGAGCAGGTGCCATCCCGCTGGAACAACTACCAACCTCTTGTAGGGAATTCCAGCCCAGAAACGTGACTTTTTGCTGAGAAAGGGGTTGGGGAGTCCAAGGGCTTTGTCTCCCTGGGATGACCCCTCCCTTCCTCACCCTCCCAAGACACAACTCCTTCTTCCCTTGGGAAAGGGATGTGTTTGTTACCAGCCCTCCCTTATCCAGCGTTCCAGCGATAACCTAGCCCTGCATTTTGTGGAGGTCACCCCCTCTTACATCTTCATTATGTTTTCTAGTTCTCTTTTCAGGGATATTTCAAAAGTCATTTAACAGTAGCAATCTGTTTTGTAAAAAATAATCCTTACAGCAAACCCAGTGTTACTCACATCCTGCAAATCTCACGGCACTGACCGGTTGGGAATGTGATGGTTTCTATCACTTTTGCCTTTCTAAAATAACACAATTCATTTTGACATCTGGTCTGCCAAAGGCCAGAGCAACCCACAGCTCAGCCCCAGGGACCCGGTGTCTGTCCTGCTCCCGCAGGAGCACTCGGGGTCTTTTCATCATGTTACGTGTTGAGGAGGACATCAACTTTTTGACCAGCTTGTGGCAAAATTTACTTACAAACTATTAGTGTATCGGTGGCTGATAACACCTCCTGGCCTGTAGCCGGGGTGGTAAGAGCCAAACCAGCGTTTCTGCCGTGCGCACACATAAATGCCATCGTTATGGAACCTACTTTAAATACAAGATGGGTACCTCTGCCCAAGCCAAAGATGAGGAAGCAGGAGAGGCAGAGACACAAAAGCTTCTGTCCCTCCCTGCTGACCCGCGCTACAGCGCGTTGCCCAAGAATAATCTAAAATATAATTAAAAATACATAGTGTACGGTACAGAGTTCCATAAGCACAATGACTGTAATGGGCATGGAAGCAGAAATACAGGCACACTCAGCTTCCTCACCTTCAGCTCAGCCACTTTCCAGCCCGTTCATCTTCTGTAGTGGTCTGAAAAGTGGCTTCAGTTTGCCTTAGAAAAATAACTCACGTTTGGCACTATTGATTTTCCTTCAATCAGTTCCCTTAAAAATACCAACCAAATAAAGTATCTAGGAAAGGAAACTCTTTTTTTTCCCTTATTGCAAAGTTGATGGCTCTATTTAAAGTTACTTTCAGAGTTCAAAGCACTGTGTGAACGTCGGGAAGCCTCGTGCTTTCGTGCACAGCACGTTTGTCAGGATGCAGCCACCTCTGCTGCCAGCCCGGTGCCCGCGGTGCTCCCGTCATCAGCAGTCACTGGCACTGACCACGGCTGGAAGCCTGTGAGCCTCCAGGACCTGGAAGAGCATTCCCAAACCTTGCACGCAAAAAGGCATTTTCCAGCACAAGAAAAGCCCCACAACCAAAAGGATCACCGTGGGCTTTAAACTACGACTGCAGAGCAACCCCGAGCCACTGCCCTTCACGTATGGAGCAATTTAAAAATTCTCCAATACCACAGCTGGGTTTCTTTTTCCTTTCTCTCCTATTTTTACACTGATAGACAGGCCATGACGGATCAGATAGACTGAAGAGCAGTCCAAGGCGTAAGCAGCCTGAGAATGGATGGGTTTTGATGTGATGTTTGATTTGGAGCCCTTCCCAGCATCTGTCAGAGGGTCGGTTACCCTCTGGCTGGCCGGACTTGCATGTCTTAGCAGGAAAATTTATCCACCAACACTTTTGCTTCGAAGTGTTCGCTGTGGTCGGCGCACGAGCCTTTCGGACCCCCCAGCGCCGTAGGTCGGCGCGATGGCGAGGGCACAGGGTGAGCTGGGTGGCCAAGCACAGCCACCCAAAGGTAGCACCTGGGCTTTCAAAGGCTTTATAGCTTTTTGGACACGTCCCTCTCCTCGCTCCCTCCTGTCCGGTAGAGGAAAAACACACGACGCAAACACAACCCATCAGATTTAGATGAAGAATGCGTTTTTCCCCCAGCGTTGTTTATGTTGGCAGCGAGGCAGGCTTTGGGGGTCCTCAGTGTGTGCTAGCTCAATTTCCTCAAGAAAGACCATAAATATTTCTGTCTCTGTAGATAGGAAGGTTTTGGAAGGTGATGGGCCGAGTCTCAGCTTCGGTGGGGAATGGCAGGCGGGGGTCTCCCGTGCCACGGAGCGGCCGTGCTGTGCCCGCTGGCAGCCCGCTGCATCCCCAGTGACTCTTTATATTCTATATATTTCCATGCCAGCACCAGGCGTTGCACCACCCAACCTGGCCCAGGACAAGGTGAAACAAAGGCTTGCTTTCTCCCAGCATGACTTTTGTCACTGCCAAATGGCACCAGTTTCCAGGGAAGCTGCTTTGGGGCTGCGCCCATTTCACGACACGCTCTTTAGTGGGATGCAGCTGCATTTTACAATGTGCCCCTTCGCAGCTGTGTTAAATATTGTTTTCAGAACTACTATGGATGCATGTTTTCACTTGGCTCAGAGATGCCCTCAGCTGGCAATCTTCTCTCCCCAGCCTTCCAGAGAAGCATGGCTGGGGCAGGGGCTGTTTTCAAATAAATATTCAATTTATGTGAAAATCCTGGAGATGGGACCAAGAAAATGCAAAGCTGAGGGGATTTAAAGCCTTCCTTGGCCATGAGGATGCTATGATGTGCAGCGAGGTGCTGCTTCTGCCATAGCTCCGTGCTGAGGGTGGCTGCTGGCAGCCTCTGTCCTGGGACGTGCACAGGGATGGGACCTGGGGTGGATGTTACATCTGAGATGGAGCTTTTTAACCCCTTTGCTGAACAGGCTGTGCTGAGTGGGATGGAAAAGGCCCCAGGGAATCTCCCTGCTCTACAGCAAGGAAAACCAAAATGGGACAGACCAAACCACCCAAACTCTGTACATCCCTCTGCCTCCCTGACATGGGTGTCTGAAGCACCAGTCCAGAGCAGATGCCTTTGCGAAGGAACCTCATGCCATGTGGTCTACGCTGATTTTGCACATGTCTAAACCATGTAGAATTAACTGCCAATGAATCGACAGCAAAAAAAAATCCTGCATAGGCACTCTCCTCATTTTCCAGACAAGAGAAACAATATCCTGTGGCAAAACTCCCTGATAACAGCTACCTCTGTTCAAACAGAGCAGAAAGCAGCTGAAATCCCGCTCACACAGGTCACGAGACACACACGAGGTATTGTCAGTCGTCACTGAACAGAAAAGTACCTGAGAAAATGATAATCCATTTTAAGCAAGGAAAAAGCTGTGGGGTTTTTTTTCAGATAAATTTGTTTCTGCAAACAAAGCAGGTCCATGGACCATCAGGCTCACGGTAAGCCTTGGCTTTTTCACCCAAGCAGGAGCATGCAGTCATTTCTGCCCGTGGCCGTGCTGATGTCCTGCTCAAGGGGACACCATCTGCCCACAGCAGCTTCCTAGGGGAAACGTACTGGGAAGGGAAGGGCTGGTTTTCTTTCTAAACAGCTGTCTAAGGCTGTACCGGGTATTATCTGGCATTTCTCAGCTGAGAGTTGCTGGATACCCATAATAGTCATGCTTAAGAGCCGTTCCTCTGTGGGTGCTGAGCAGAAGGGCAGAGCCGTGGGGCCAGCAGCTGTCTCACAAGTCTCAGTGCAAAGTCCTTGTGCTCTTGCACCAGCCACATCATCTGCTGGGGACATTTTTCCCTATTTAGAAAATCAGCATTATAATTTGTCCGATTTGTGACGACAAATAAAAAGCTTTATATTTTTTTGTTTAGATTTAAAGAGCATCTAAGCTGATCTCTTGCTTATTGTGCAAATGCCTCAACAAATTTGTAGCTTAACGAGGTATGGGGTAACATCCCTGTCACTCCCGTTATTTGCCATCCCCATGCGTGCTCTCTTGGTGGAATTTGCTTTGTCCCCATGAGAATATGCAGTTTGGTGTCAGGAAATTACCAGCTCGGTAGCACGTGGGTGATGGTAACAGGACATGGCTCCGTATCGTCTCTATCTATGACAAAGTCTACCCAGTGAGAGACAGAGAGAAAAAAGCTGTGAAACCAGCAGCACCAAGTAGCAAGCTTTCCTGGAACATGCATAAAAGAATGAAGAGAGAACTTCACTTGAACAACAAATGACAAAGATAGGTCAGGAAGAGAATTTTAACTCCTTCAAGATGACAATAAAGAATTCACAATGTGCACAGTGACTTTAAGAGCGCGATGACAGCTGCGTGAACATCTAGATACAGCAAAAGAAGGACTTGATATGAAAAAACAACTGGTCAGGGGTTGGGTCTTGTGCATCTACCTGGCTCCTGGTCCCATGGGAATGGCTTCGATACCGATTCCAGTGCAGCAGGAACATGCTTTAACCCAAACTAAGAAGGTATAAAGCACAAAAAGTTCGAGGACCAGAAGACACTGAGATGGTTGGGTTGGGAATGCAACATGAGAAAGGAAGTGACTGTGCAGTTTTGGCCTAAAGTAGATTTTTCTGGCCAAAATCTTTCAAAACCA